AGAGGACCTGGGTTCAATTCTCAGCACCCACATGGTGGCTAACACCTGTCTGTAACTCTAGTTCGAGGGAATTCGACACCTTCTGACTTTGTGGGCATTTCACTACCTGGGTGCACTTACAGACATGCAGGCAATACACTCCTACACCACTCATACACATAAAATAAAAATAAATAAAATATTTTTAAAAAAAGAAAAAGAAAAGAAAAATGTACCAGACTGGTGGAACTAACCTTCTTTGATATTTAACAGACATACTTTGAGGCCTATACTAATTTGGTCAGAGGGACATAAAGGACAGTTTTTGCTCCTTTTGCCCTCCTAGGTTGACTAGTTCCAGGGGACTATGAGCACCTCCCAAAATGTCTTGTAATTGTGGTGGGTCACCTGTCCTCTTGATCAAGGCTGAGGAGACCCCACCAGATGGACTTGAACCAGTGTCCAGTCTACAAAGAGGAGGGTCAACACAGAGGAATCATTTTCTCCATGCTTCCAAGTGAAGCCAACCATGGTTGAGCAAAACCTTTGACTTATCTTCACATAGGCGGAACTGGTAAAAGAAAGGAGCCAGGGGCTCCTCCCAAGCCCATGTGACCCTTGAGGAACAGATCCTCAAATGACCTTAAGAGTAAAAATATATTGGTTTAACTGGGCCTTAAACACCCAAAAGGAAAGTATAACCAAAGATTAAAGAGGCCAATATAATTTTTTAAGAGTCCATATTTATAGCTAAAGGCTACATAACAAGCAACAATGCCAGATAGGAGATACCTTCTTTTGAGGTGTTGGCCAGGGTGGCAAAAGGGACTCCCAGATATTAACCCAGCATAGAACTGGGAAAATAAACAGCAGACCCCAATCTTATCTAAAGGAATATTGACAACTGACTGCTGCTAGATGAGGAACAGCTGAGCTTCCTAAAACAAAGACCTCTAGAGAGGCTGACTAGATTCACTGGATGGACCAGTAGTGGGGAACAGCTAGGGGTGCTGAGAACACAGCCGACAGTAGCAGGGATGACAGAGTATAAGGGCTGTAGTGGGGGGAGGAAGACTATGGGAGGGTGCCATCTGGGAAGTGGGTGTATAGTTTAATAAGATGGTTTTGATGTTCTGTGTGATATACACACACAGAAAAAAAACAAATTAAAAAAAAATGTATTATATTTGAGGAGGAAGCATAAAAGTTTATGTCATGTTAACTAGTAGAGGTGATGAACATTATCATTGAAATCTACCCGATGACTTTATAGACATACACAGGTGCCAAGTATCCGAGTGCAAATGATGACTAGTAATAATCAGATACATACAGATTAGAGACGCATGCACCAACATCTCAGTGTTAGTAGCAAAAACATTGAGTCTTTCTGTAAGAAGCAGTATATTTTAGAATGAAATGGAGAATGGAGATCTCTTTTGAGGGTTAAAAGCTCATTCAATTTTATTACTTACAGAGCTTATACTG